CATTCATTTAGGAACAAAAGACTGCTGTGGCTTTGTTTGAATATGTTTGCATAGAAACAGCAAAAACAGACAGTAACTAACAATATTATGTCTAAAATGTAATCTACTCAATGTTAACTTTTTGTTTATTGAACTGTTGTATGAAAGAAAAAATCATGCTAACTTTAGTGCTGTGATTATTTTTGGCACTCGGTCTGTGGCTTTGCTGATATATTTGGAAATATAGCATTGGAGCATCACAAATATAGCATTCCTGCTTCAATTTTTATAATCCCACCAAGAGCATAAACTCGTTTACAGAGCTGTCATCCTAACCCAATTCAATACATAATAATACGATCTAATAGTTAAGGTGTAGAATGTTAAAGAGGGCCATTCTATTTCTTATTACCTTGCTTATATTGCGTTTACCCTAACTATGCATACAATTGTGATAAACATTATTCAGTGTGTTTTACTTCAAAAATCCAAGCAATAAAACCAGATTATTTTTTCCTATTTGGTCCTTTTGGTTGACAACCTCTTTAATTATTTTGAGCTTCAGGAAGCCTGTAAATCCACTGACCTTTACATTAGTATTACCTCACTTAACATGAAGTAATTTCCCTTCACTTATGATGACGAATGTACATTACTTAGGATGAATCTTCTGTTCCTTTGTCCGTAGTCATAACAGAGATGTTTATCATAACAGAATTACTAACTTATTTCCCTTTTGGGATCAGAAGAATGCCACATTAAAAAAATACCCTTGAAACGCCATTCTATTATCCAATTTGAGGTAGGTGTAATCATTTTTTTCCATTTGAATTTCTCTACAAATCATATTGAGACAGAATGGTTTGACTTTTGGTTCATTTGAAATTCTGCAAACAAATCAACCAGATTGCCGTTTGTTATTTCAGTGATATTTATATTTGTTCTGCCTATAGGAAAACTGCAAACCTGCACATTTTGGAGGTAGCATTGAAGAGCTTCATCTTATACATGTTGGAAGCTGTAAGGAGGAAGTGTTCAGGTGTCAGAGGAGGATACCACACCATGCAGGTGGGCACAGCACTCTGCTCGATACGTTCAGAACTCAAAATCAACAACCCATCTTCACCACTATTCTGCAGATCATACTCCACCTGTTCAGAACACAGGATAGATGTGATACGTTGTTAACTGCATACCAAGGGTACAAGATCATACAGGAACACAGGGACTCACCAGCCAGCGATCCATGCCAAGAGAGAGGAGGCGAGGCTGACTGCTGTCTAAATCCACCCCAAACAGCAGGTCCTGAATGGGTTTATAATGCGAGTGGTGCCTGCCCTGGTATTTCCAAACCTCCTGGGTCCCCTCTTTACATCGACGGAGCAACGTCACAGCTTTTCCAGTGTCCTGAAATAAGAAAAATACATATAGGAAATATAGATCTACATAACAAAAATTCCCTCATAAAATCTAGAACATTGCTGTTACAGTCGAAGTTTTAATAGTAAAAAGTAAACCACGGGATCCACTTAAAATCTTAGCAACGTTTTTGTGCCAAAAACAGTCATATTTAAAATTTTCATTTCACATTATTTCTCAATGTGACAGGTTCACAAAACAGTCTGTGCTGAAATGGGCAGTACAAACTGAACTAAAAGAAAAATGCAACTCCTACTAACTGCGGCAGCCAGGTAGCTTGAGTCCTGGGAAAAAGTTAGATGGGTAATGCTGTCCTGACTGTAGTGCAAACCCTCTTTACCGTCACTCTGAAGTGTACAGGCGTCAACAATCTGCAAAGCCCCACTGGCAAAGCCCACTGCCAGGTAAAAACCTAAAATATGACAAATTCATACACATGCATACTCAGATAGTATATATATA